GGTGTCAGTCCCTCCTGTCCCCAGCCTCAGGCTTGGCCGGAACTTTGCAGCGGAGAGCATCTGCCCGCCTGCGGCCAGCCTCTCTCTGGACTCAGAGATGCACATCAGGGCCGCCGGGCTCTCTAAGAGCTGGCCAGCCTCCAGGCCCTTCTAAGTGCTTCACCTGCACCAGCTCCGTCCTCCCGGCAGCCATGAGATGGGCGTTTGTGGTTCCATTTTATTGACAGAGCAGAAGCGGGTGTGGTCTTGTCTGGGCAAGCTGGCTCTCAGGACCCTCTCCCAACCTGCTGCTATGGGGACTTCATAGGGAGCCCCGAGGGCTCTGGTGGCTGATTGGGCCATGGTAGTTTTCAGGGACCAAGGCAGGGCTGGGCTGTCTCTGTTTCCTGAGGGAGTGTAGCTATCCCAGGCCTGGGTTCAAATCCCAGCTCTGCCACAACTAACTCTGGGACCTGGGCAGGAGTCCTCTCCCTCTGAGCCTCTGTTTCCTCACCTGTAAAACGGTTCAACCCCTGCCTTGGGGCTGTGGAGGGTTGACCTTTGTCTCATCATTCACACGTTCTGTTGGGCACCTGCTCTGTGCCAGCCTCTGTGGACACCGCCATAAACAGAGCCTGCTAATGTCCCTTGGAGCTCGTGTTTGGGGTGCCTTTTGGGGGGGGGTGTGCCCATGGGGGTGGTTTCACCCAACTCTGCCGCGAGACCTGAGGAGAGACCCTGAATGCCACCTTCAACTTCCTTGGGTGGGGTGAGGAGTCACAGAGCTACATACCCTGGGAGAATGCTTCCAGGTACACTGGGTTGGTGAGGGTGGGCACTCCCATGGTGCCCTGGGACTCACCCTCCTGACCTCACAGCCCAGGCTTCTGGCAGCTGAGTCCTTGGCTGTTTGGGATGATGAGTAGCCTCGTGGTGAGGACCACCCAACTCCACCTAGGAGGCCGACTGCTGAGTGGCCGCAAGCATGGTTTCATAGCAGACCTAGATTCTGAGCTAACCTTCGTCAAATGGAGCTGTGTGACTTGGCAGAAGGGGCTTAACCTCTCTGAGTCTCAGCTTCTGCCTGGACCCTGGCTTCCTATGCGGAGCCCCAGAGAGGGCATGACCCCAGTCATTGCTCCAGGGAAGGTTATTTGCTGGTCCATCAGGTGTCAGTGTGAGTCCAGGGCCCTGCCTTGCTGGTGTCCCTGTTAGCACAAGAAGTACAACTTGGTGGTGCACATCCAGGGAGCCCAGCCTGCTTCCTGGGGACCTGCCAATGGCCCACCTGTCCCTTCCCCTGGCTGGAGCTCTGCCTACAGCCCTGGGGTGTTCTGACCCAGGCCTGAGGGGCCACACCTCCCCATATCACCCTAAGGGATAGACCTGGCTGGAAGACGCTTGGGGAGACCTGGCTCTGTCTTGCCCCTCAGTACCTCGACAGGGCTGGCCTGGGTGGATCAGAAGCCAGGGAAGGGAGTCAGGGTGACCGACCTGCAACCAGATCCTCAGCTTAAAGGGTGACCCCAGGACAGACATGGGGATGGGAGAGGGAAGGACTGGGTGGGGGAGCCCCCGGGGCCATGGTCCTAGTTTGCGTGTTCCACGGGGTGCATGCTTGTGTGCCGTCTGTGCACGGCCGCATCTGGCTGCGTGTTCATGCAGGGGCTGTGACCCTGGGCGTGTTTCTGAGAGCCTCAGTCCTGCTGAGGTGGGCTGGTGGGTGTGTCTGCGTATGTGCACGCGCATCCAGGCTGTGTGTGCTGCCAGGGGAGCCTTGAAGGAAAGAGGGAGCAGGCATCACGCTCATTCAGCTGAGAAACGAGGGACGTTCTGGCCCAGGCTGCGGCATGGATGGCCCTCAAGGAACCAAGCCAAGCGCAAAAGGACAAATGTGGCATGATTCCTCTTAGATGAGGTTCCTGCAGGAGTCTGAGTCATAGAGACAGAAAGTCCCACGGTGGGTGACAGGAGCTAGGGAGGAGGGAACAGGAGCTTGTGTTTAATGGGGATGGTTTCTGCTGGGAAAGGCAAAAAGGTTCTGGCGGTGGATGGTGGTGATGGGGACAGAGCAGTGTGAATGTGCTTCATGCCACGGAACTGTATACCCAAAAACGGTTTAAGTGAGAAATTTTATATGCGTTTTGCTACAATTTAAAAAAGTTATTATTATTATTTTTTTGAGACGGAGTCTCACTCTGTCTCCCAGGCTGGAGGGCAGTGGCACGCTCACAGCCACTGCAGCCTCGACCTGCTGGGCTCAGGCCATCCTTCCGCCTTAGCCTTGCAAGTAGCTGGAACAAAGGCACGCTCCACCACACCTGGCTAATTTTTTCTTTTTTCTTTTTTTTGAGTTGGAGTCTCACTCTGTCACCCAGACTGGAGTGCAGTGGCCGCTCCTGGCCACCACCTGCTGGGCTCCGGTGATCCTTCCGCCTCAGCCTTCCAAGTAGCTGGAACTACAGGCGCACGCTACCACGCCCAGCTAATTTTTTTTTTTTTTTTTTTTTTATTGTAGAGATGAGGTCTCGGCAGGTTGCCCAGGTGGGTCTCGAACCCGCGGGCTCAGACAATCCACTCACCTCGGCCTCCCAAGGCGCAGGATTACAGGCTGAGCCACTGAGCCCGGCTAATTTTTTGATTTTTTTTCTTTTTTCTTTTAGAGACGCAGTCTTGCTATGTTGCCCAGGCTGGTTTTGAACTCCTGGGCTCAAGCAATCCTCCCGCCTCTGTCTCCCAAAGTGCTGGAATTAAAGGCAGTATCCACTGCGTCCGACCAAAACATTTTTTTTTTGAGTTAATGTTCAACAACCCAGGAGCAGAAGGGCCCTGAAGTCTCACTGCCTTGGTTTGCCCCGAATTCAAGGCCAGCCTGGGCAACGTAGTGAGACTCCGTCTCAAAAAATAAAGGTCACACAGTGAGTGGGGTCAGCAGGGCCGCAAGAGTCTTCCTGACTCACTCTCAGCTCACCTGGACCCAGGCAGCTTCCTGTGGGTCCTCTGCTTCCCCTCTGCTCCCTCTCTCCCAGTGTCACCGCCCTTCCCTCAAGGTTCATCTCCAGAAGGGATGAGGTCTACACTGATGCTGCATCAGCCCAGGTCATTCTAGAAGCTGCACCCCCCCCCCCCACCACCACCACGCAGTCCTCAATCCCCAAGCTGCCCTGGGCGCAGAGCAGGCAACAGGCAAGGGGTCTTCTAGGATGAATCCTGCGGGTGTGGGCTCTACATGGGGGCTGGAAGGCCTTCCTTCTCCCAGGGTTGTACTGAGATGGAATGTCCTGGCAGTTACCTCAGGGCCCGACTGTCATTTCTGTCTTAAGATCCACCAGCTGGCCAGGCTCGGTGACTCAGCCTGTAATCCCAGCACTTTGGGAGGCCGAGGCGAGGGGATTGCCTGAGCCCACGGGTTCGAGACCTACCTAGGCAACTTGGTGAGTCCTTGTCTCTACAATAAATAAAAAATTAGCCGGGCATAGTAGCACGTGCCTATAGTTCCGGCTACTTGGAAGGCTGAGGCGGAAGGATCTCTGGAGCCCAGCAGGTCGAGGCTGCGGTGGCCATGAGCATACCACTGCACTCCAGCCTGGGTGACAGAGTGAGACCCCAACGCAAAAAAAAAAGCTCTATCAGCTTATAGGCTCCTTAGTAAAAGGACGGTCTGAAGCTCTTGTTCTCAATCAGCCTTCTTCAAAGGTGTTTCCTTTAGCAGCTGGGAGGCCCTTGGGTCACCTCTCCCAGACCCATGGGGACAATACTGCCCAGTCACTGTTTCTACAGTCCAGGCTGCTGTATGGCTGTGGCTTGCCTGTTCAGAGAGAGCCTCAGAAAGTGCAGAGATAAAGATTGGTTGAAGGCTGGGCATGGTGGCTCACTCCTATAATCCCAGCACATTGGGAGGCGGAGGTAGGAGGATTGCCTGAGTGCGCGGGTTCAAGACCAGCCTGGGCAACTTGGCGAGACCTTATCTCTACAATAGATCCAAAAATTAACAAGGCATGGTGGCGCGTACCTGTAGTTCCAGCTACTTGGAAGGCTGAGGCGGAAGAATCGTCTGAGTCAAGGCTGCAGTGGTCATGAACATGCCACTGCACTTTAGCCTGGGTAACAGAGTGAGACTCCAACTAAAAAAAAAAAAATCAGTCAAACAAACAAGGAGTCAATTACAACACCAAGGCCACAGGTTGATCAGATCAGGAAGGCTAAGGGAGCTCAGGTGTGAAGTTCAAGTTTGCCGACACTTCAACACTGTCTGGGCCACTTCCTGGTCTCTTCCCCAACCCTATCTTTCTCCTCCTCACTCTTCCTTTAACCCCTCTTTTTTCTTCCTTTTTTTTTTTTTTGAATTGGAGTCTTACTCTGTCGTCTAGGCTGGAGTACCGTGGCACACTCACGGCCACTCCAGCGTTGACCTGCTGGATTCTGGCGATTCTTCCGCCTCAGCCTTCTAAGTAGCCGGAACTACAGGCACACGCTACCGCGCCCGGCTCATTTTTTATTTTTTTGTAGAGACGAGGTCTCACCAAGTTGCCCAGGCTGGTCTCGAACTCCTGGGCTCAGGCAGTCCTCTCGTCTCTGCCTCCCAAAGTGCTGGGATTACAGGCGTGAGCCAACGTGCCTGGTGGGATCTTCCCATGAAAGGACTCAGAGTCTTCCAGGGAGATCCCTCTGCAGACCCAGACCTGAATACACTCAACCATGTTTGGTCACTCACCTTGCTGGGTGACACGGATGGTGCCAGGCAGGTGGGGGGTGACAAGCGGGGCACCTGGGGCCTGGGGAGGACCAGGGAGGGCTCACGGGCAAGGCTGACCCACCTGGACTCATCTCTTTGACTGCTGCACACGCAGCTGACTTCCTGTGCGCGTGCCTGTCTGCTCTGCCCATCCATCGACAGTGCGCGTGCCTGTCTGCTCTGCCCATCCATCGACAGTTCTGCCTTGTCTCTGCCAGCCGCCCCTGGGTGCTACTCCAGCTGTCTGTCTGTCTGTCCATCCCCCTGACTGTCTGCTCTCCCCCAGGATGCCTTCCATGCCTTCCACCAGGACCTCGATTTCGTGCGCAAGTTCCTACGGCCCCTGCTGATTGGAGAGCTGGCCCCGGAGGAGCCCAGCCAGGACGGGCCCCAGAACGTGAGCAGGGCCCCGGGGCAGGCTCTGCCCCTGGGGGGGGGGCACTGCCCCGTGGCCAGCGGCGTCTCTCTCTACAACAGTCCAAGGGATTGCAGCCAGGGATGGGCTTGCCATCCCTCCCCCAGCAGGCAGCTGAAGGTGGAGCTGTGGTCACACCCTGTGCCAGTTCAGGGCACTTGCTTGGTCCCCAGCCAGCCCCTTCCTTGCTCCTGCCCTCACCTCCATCCACCTTGAGGATTTTGATGAACTGAGCGCTCTGCCTTTCTCTCCTGGCTCAGCCCACACCTTTTGGGAGAGGGGGCGACTTCACTGCCAGCCAGTCCCCAACTCACACCCAGGCTGGGTGGCCCTCGTCCTCTGGCCTCATCACTTTGACCACACCTCTGGGGCCTGGCACTGGGAGGCATGGCTGGGGCTTGAGGAGTAGAGTGGGACTCGCTGACCGGCCCCTCTGCCGTGGCAGGCCCAGCTGGTGGAGGACTTCCGAGCCCTGCGCCAAGCAGCCGAGGACATGAAGCTGTTTGATGCCAACCCTGCCTTCTTTGCTTTCCTGCTGGGCCATATCCTGGCCATGGAGGTGCTGGCCTGGCTCCTCATCTGCCTCCTGGGCCCGGGCTGGGTGCCCAGCGCCTTGGCCGCCCTCATTTTGGCCGTCTCCCAGGTGATCCCAGCGCTGTGTTGCAGCCACCCCTAACTGCCTGCCCTACAGACACGGGCCCCAGCACACGTGGGCACTCCGGACTTATTTGTTGAATGAATGAATGGATGGATGAGGGAGTGAATGAGTGAAAAGCCCTGGGGCTCCTAAGGTGTGCCTGTGGGTCAGGCTAGGTCATAAATGAGCCAAGGAATTTCCTTATTTAATGACTCCTTTGTGAGGCTGAGGCGTGAGGATTGCTTGAGGCCAGGAGTTCGAGACCAGCCTGGGCAACATAGCAAGAGCCCATCTCTACAAAATATCAAACAATTAGCTGGCCGTGGTGACACATGCCTGTAGTTCCAGCTACTTGGGAAGCTGAGGTGGGAGGATGCTTGAGCCCAGGGATTGGAGGCTGCAGTTAGCTAGGACTACACCACTGCACTCCAGCCTGCGGGACAAAGCAAGACTCCGTCTCTAAAAAACAAATAAAAGCTACATTCTGAGCAAGCGCAGGACAGGAAGCCAGTCTCATAGCACCACCCTGAGACTCAGGTGTCCTTATCTGTAAAAGAGGGGACTGGCCGCAGGGTCTTCAGAGGGGGCACTAGCTGTGGGTGCATGCTGTGAGCTGGAAGGGGCCACGGGGGCTCCAGGGCTGGGGCCCCAGGCTGGAGCTGGGCCTGGTGCATCCCATCCCTCCCAAGGCTCCTGACCCTGCCTCTCCCCCCAGGCCCAGTCCTGGTGTCTGCAGCACGACCTGGGCCACGCCTCCATCTTCCGGAAGCCTCGGTGGAACCACATGGCTCAGCAGTTTGTGATGGGGCAGCTGAAGGTGCGGGTGGGGGCAGGGTGGGCCGCCGGGCACTGAGCTGGGCCTGCCCACACATGTGGCCACAGAGTGGGTGGTGCGGCCTGGTCCTGCCCCTGAGAGCCCCTCTTCCCCACAGGGCTTCTCCGCCCACTGGTGGAATTTCCGCCACTTCCAGCACCACGCCAAGCCCAACGTCTTCCACAAAGACCCAGACGTGACAGTAGCACCCGTCTTCCTGCTGGGGGAGTCGTCCGTCGAGGTGGGTGGGGCGGGACGTGGACACCCCCAGACCGGGCCTGCAGCCAAGGGGGCACTGGCGGCGCCTGAGCCCCCACCAAGCCCAGCCCTGGCTCCTGACCTCCCCTGCCCCTGTGGTCTTCCCTCTCCACCTCCCAGCCTGCTGGGGACGACGGGCCCAGTGGCTAGAATCTAGAGTTGCCTTTGACCCTTGGCCCCTGACCTTGCCTGCGAGGAGGAGGGCCAGGAGAGCCGCTCTCTCCAGCCGCCGCCTGTCTCCACAGTACGGCAAGAGGAAACGCAGATACCTGCCCTACAACCACCAGCACCTGTACTTCTTCCTGAGTGAGTGTCCGTCCGTCCTCCCAGGGTGGGGCATGCCATCCTCTTGCTGTCTTGGACAGCTCCCAGCCACCTCTGGAGGCAAAAGCACCCTCCCAGCCCGCCACCTGCCCCGGTGCCCTCGCCACCGCCGTTCTTCCTGCCTGGGTACCTTCCAGCCAGGTGCCATCGCGGCCCTGCCAACCCCCACCTAGAATTCCTTCCTGACCTGGCATCCAAGAGGTCTGGAGCCCTAGAGCTTTGGGGCAATTGTTGGGACAGACAGAGTGAGGATACACGGCTGGCCCCAGCCTACAGCAGAAGAAGGCCAAGGTGGGAGCCCACGGGGCCAGGACCGTCCCGGGGAGGCCCAGGCCCAGAGAGAATGAGTGTGGGTCAGGCCTTGGGGGTGATGCGGGGTCACCCCACCTGGATGGGACCAGCACCCATGCTCTCTGGACGTTACTGGAATGACCCTGAGCTCTCTGGCACCCCGTCTTGCAGTCGGCCCGCCGCTGCTCACCCTGGTGAACTTCGAGGTGGAAAATCTGGCGTATATGCTGGTGTGCCTGCAGTGGGCGGTGAGTGGCACTCAGGGTCCCAGCCCACGGCCGTGATGGCAGAAGGCGGGGCTTCTGGGGGGCAGCCCCTGCCCGTGAAGGCACCACTGCACGCGGTGGTGTAGTTCATGTGTGTGTGTGTAGGGGGAGAGCAAGCCTGCACATGACTGTGTGTGCAGGGGTGTGAGGGTGTGTGCAGGGCATGGTGGGGTCTCGATGGGGGTGTCCTTCTGCGGGGGAATTGCTAGGCTGACTCTGCCTGATGTCCATGTCCCTGGCGGCCTCCCCTCCACCACACCCTGCACGGCACCTTCTCGTCTTAAGGTCAGTCTTGCGAGCTGGCAGGGTGGGGACCCTGGCTCTTTACCCAGCTGAGAAGACTGGGACAAGGGGTGGCCTGTCCCCGGCTCTGAGGCAAATCAAGCAGTGGGGGTAGGGAATGACCCTAGCACCCCCCACGCGCCAGGCCTCTAGACCCCGGCCGCCAGGACACCCCTCCGTCTTGCCTCTGCCCCCTGCAGGACTTGCTCTGGGCCGCCAGCTTCTATGCCCGCTTCTTCTTGTCTTACGTCCCCTTCTACGGTGTCCCTGGGGCGCTGCTTCTCTTTGTTGCTGTCAGGTATGGCGGATTCGGAATAGCGGGGAGCGGGTGACCTGGCCACGGCCCTCTTCCTCACAGCCTCCACTTTCCCATCTGCAGAATGGGGCCAGCAGGACTGCCTCCCCGGCTTGTTAGGGGAATCAAGTAAACTCCAGTGGGATTGGGGGACATGCCTGGCACGCAGGTGGCCCCGTGGGTGTCCACTGTCATGAGCGGGCTGCCCTGGGCTGGGCCGTGGAGTGGACACTGCCCCGTTCAGCTTCTTTAAATACCGCCAGGGAACGATGCCCACAATCCGCTGTCCAGATGAGGAAGCGGAGCCCCTGTGTGGGGGCCACGCACCCTCCAGCCTCCACTCGGGTGCCTGAGTGGTGAGCTGGATGTGGGACAGGGCCCGAGCCTTCCTCTGCAGGGTCCTGGAGAGCCACTGGTTTGTGTGGATCACACAGATGAACCACATTCCCAAGGAGATTGGCCATGAGAAGCACCGAGACTGGGCCAGCTCTCAGGTGGGCGGCGGGTGGGGCTGGGTAGGGCTCATCCTGGG